TCGGACGCGTCCCAGCCACGTGCGCGTGCGCTGCGCTCGCTCGCCTCGTCGACCTCGTCGACCGACTCCACTAGCGCCCCGCGCGTCGAGCCCCACTCGCCCTCGCGCCATTTCGCGTCTGTTCCCACTCGTGCGCCTTTGGCCTTAGCCGTCATGCGTTGCTTGCGCCGATCTCTCGCGCATGCCTTGCACCACTCGCCTATTTTCCCGGGCACGATCTTCTCATTCTCATCGTCGGCCCAAGTCTCATGTTCATAGCCTCTTCGAGGTCTCTTAGCACGGTCTCGATGGTTGTCCCGGGCCCTCGCGCGCTTCTTCCCATGGCTCATGCGCGTCTCGTCCTCGGGCTCGAATGGGTCGATGACCACATCCTCATCAGTGCGACGCGGCGGGGCTGCGGGCTGTCGCGGCGCGGGGGCATCTCGGGTGTGGAGTGCGGGAACAGGTGCTGCAATTCGGGTCGTGGTGCTGGCGCGGGGTGCTCCGCGGCGCGGCACTGGGAGACGCATCCTCTGAAGGCCCGTGACGGGTGTCACGACGCTAGGGCTTGGCGCGGTGGTCTGGGCAGCTTGCTCGACTTTGTTCTCGGGGCCCATTCGAGCTCATTTGGACTTGGAATTCGATTTTGTTTTTTTCTGCTTGTCGCCAATGAAGCCCTCTACAAATTAGGCTCGCCCAAAATATTTTTCTCCTTAAAATTACAATCGACGAGGCACCTGACCTGCACACCACAGACGAACACAAAAGCGGAGAAAACCGAAAAACGACCGAAAAATACAGAAAGACACCAAATAGAGAAAAACACACAATAATATACAAAACGAACTAAAAATGAATGGAAAGACCTAAAACGGGGAAAAAAGAAATAAAAAATAAGAAGGAAAAACGCAACAAAAATGGGACAAACAATAGCAATATTAAGAAGAGTGAATATAAAATACACTTTCAAGGAAGATACCAACACAAGAAGTTCTCATGGAAAAAAGAACCAATTCAATTTGTACTTGGATTTTAAAAGAAATGCTAAATAATTAAATATGGACTACAAATTAGCAAACACATACATAAGAGATAGGAATGTTTCACTTGCAAGAGGGTTTATGTATGACCCAAATATTATCTGCTAGCAAACAGAAAAAAACAAAAAAAAAAACAAAAAAAACAAAAAACAAAAAACAAAAACAAAAACAAAAGTTCACTTACTATTCTGCCATTATTGTTATACAATCCTTTCACCTAAAACTTTAGCAATAAGACATTTGGGTGCCATAAAACTTTTATTTCCTCTCGGTTCCTCTTAACTATCTTGCTTAAAATGGCCAATAAGACAATTAACAGAATCCACAAAAAGATATGACACATAAATAGGAAGAAATTCCTCCATGGTGCACCACACACAAATCACATTTATCTAGTTTTATCACATATGGTCTAAGTTCTTACTCACTGTCCTACTGAGAAACCAACTAATCACGAATAAGAACACAACGTAACTCACTGTAAGCACGCCAGACTTCAACGTAACTCCTTGTGCTCCGCACCACTCGACCGCATACACCCCCCCGTTCATCTCAGTGCAGGCAAGGTCATAGCGTGCGACCTTGATGCTTGCAAGGATCAAAATTTGCAGATCAAAAACATAAATTATTTCTCAGCCCGACTAAGAGGCAAGAATCAAAATCAGTTAACTACACCAACCAATTGACAATTGCAATTTGCACATCAAAAGAAAAAAATTTATAAAAAAAACAATAAAGTTACCTTGACGATGCGGCCGCACTTCATCATCTGTCGGAAGCGCCGACAGATGAATGGTATGCATTAAATTTTCTAAATTTTTACTACTATTTTTGGTAAATGGTTATTCTTATATATATATATAGATTGATGTATTTTATTTGGAATTTTTAAAATTTCTAAAATTCATCATTTGAGATTTTAAAAAATTTAGAAGTTCAATATTGAGATTTCTTATTATATATATATATAAATCATTTGAGATTTAAAATTTCTAAAATTCAACATTTGAGATTTAATAACATAAATCTTGAGCAATAAACGCCATAGATAAATAGATTATACAATAACTTTGTATGAACTGCGAACATAAGTTGAATGCTTCTTTTCTGTCTTATGAGCCCTATTTTGTGACAGTTTGTTTACCTAATGTTAGAATCATTTGTCTTGAGATGCCAACATTGGGAATTCTACCATGTTAAACTTTTCGCGCTTTTTTCACTTTAACTGTTTGGTAGAAATCAAAACCGAACGACATGGTCTTGACTTCTTCAAACTTAGCAAAGCTCATTATTTTGTTTTGTTTTATATCTTTCAGTAACCGATCCATAATATAGAAATCCAAACTTGCAGCCGAAAAAGAAAGACTCGTGACATTGTAACACCATAATTTAATTTTTTGAAATAGAACAACCAAACTCATCCAAGTTCATTCCTCGTCCAATCTCTTTATCAGGATTGAATAGTGCATTCATCCTTGATATTACCAAAAGCAATTCAAATATAGAACCAAACAGCATTAGGCCAAATCATAAATCTCTTACCTGAGGGAAAACGGTTGCAGGCCTCAAGTTCGCGAACACGTGAAGACCTGCCCGGAGTTGAAGCAGTCCAGTTTCAGGCTTTAAATGTTTCTCATTATTATCCCACTTGTACCTTCAACTCAAAATTCACACTTTCACTATAGGGAGTACTTAAAAGGGAGAAAACACACACACACACACACACACACACACAGAAGCTTGATAATTACCCTCCAATGGCTCTAAGAAGAACAACATCAGAAGCCTTTGCAGCTGAAAGTGTCTCCTCTGGCAATGGTACTCCGGTCAATCCCTGCCATTAATTAAACNTTTACTTTTGAAAAGGGATCTTCACCGCCGCCCCCCTCGTCGCCTCTGCCGTCTTCCATTGCCCCGCGTACAGGGCGTCGAGCTCCTCGACATCCACCTAGATGTTCCCGTTGGCGTCAATCTTCCTAATCATCGCCCGCAACTTCTCCTCCGGCACGCAGATCCGAAGATTATCTAGCGACTATGAACTCCTTGCTTGGAAACCGTGAGGAGTTATGGGAGATTAAGCCGTGATTTATGGAGCTGCAACGGCTAAAGAATTTGGGCGGATCTCTTGTGTTTGGGGAGAGATATGGAGAACCGCGGATTTTGGAGACATGTGAACAGATTTCGCTGAACAGATTTTTAGCCTTAATATAAGAAATCAAACTTTCAAATTGCACGGTTTTTAAAAAATTGCCATATTCAGTAAGTCAACTTAGTTGACTGCCATTTTTTATAAACTTTCCTCATTTGATTTATTAACCTCTCTTTTTCAATATATATAGATACGTTACAAGAGACATATCTTAATTTTTTCTTAATTAAAACTTAAACAACTCACTAATTATTAATTTGATATAGATATATAATTTGTTAGTGGAAATGGACTTCACCCAGGCTCCTCAACTCAGACGGTCTCCGTACCTACAGAACCCAACGCCGGAAGGGGTCCCGGCGTCGGGCCTCCGATACTTAAGTCAATATCACTCCAAACTCAAGTCTGAAGAGTATAATTATGAATGTAGAGAGAATGAGGTTTTGAGATATCTTAGCTCTCTTTCATAGGGGGACGTACCTTAGTACCCAAGTTGGGCTTGACCCATACCATTATGTCATATGTCCTAACTCATATGTGAGCTTATTCTTCAATATATTTCTTCTTAACCATTAAAGTCGGTCTAGTATAATATCTTATATCATAATTGATAATAAAAAAATTAATAAAACTATTTAGATTTTCAACCTTTTTTCGTTTCAATCTAATAATTATTTTTAAATCTGTAAGTGAAACTTAATCAATGATTTTTTTAACATGTTGGTTAATTAAAATATAACATTTTTTTATTATTTTATTATATATAGTAGTTATTACAAAAACTAAATAATTATAATTCGCACTAAATGATTTATGAAAGTTCAATAAATATAAAAAATTATATTGCAAATTTTTTTCTTAAACTATTTATTGCTTTTAAGCATTATTTTAATAAGCTAATTAGTTTTTGTGGTGCAACCAAGCCCCTTAAGATTTCATAAATTTAATAATAATAATAATAATAATTTTTAAAATAATTAATAGGTCATATCCATCAAATTTATAAGAACTAAAATTTTCGTTTAATTTTATACAATCAATATAGTAATGAAGTTGAATACTTTTATTTTTATTTTTACTAATGAAAAAATATGATACAATTATCTAATTTATAATTTTAATATTACATACATATTTATAACATATAATAATTTAATATTTGTAATGTGTAAACGATCGAACACTACTTATTCGTTTTGGCGGTTTTCCTATAACATAAACAATTCATCAATGATCTAATGTTTTATCATTTTCGTTCCCTCACCTAAGTTCACCTTCAATAATATACAACTTTATTTAACTCAAACTAAATCATTAATTGCGATTTCGAAAATTCAAATCTAATGGTCCCCCAAACACCGAAGATTCAAATCCAATGGTCCCCCGAACCCGGATGAATGCTTCCACCGGCAAACTTTCCAACTATACCACAATGGAAAAGAAAATTCAAATCCAATGGTCCCCCAAACCCCAAAGAATGCTTCCAAGTTCTTCTAGCGAATTTTCCAACTATGCGAGAATGGAAAAACCATTTACACCACACACAAAAGATGCCAAAGATCACACACCACAAATTTATACAAACTAGAAGAAAAAAAGTAAACATACACTACATTAATACCCAACAACAATCTCCCATGGTCATGCATGGACAAAAAAACCACCAGCAGACCAAATAACAAGAGATCTTTATACAAACTATAAACACAACCTCAAAGACCATTCTGCATATGTCAAAAAACCCATTTGCAGAGGCCACAAACTGACTCTACACATACTTAGAAGATCCTACATAAAACTTACATATGCTTTTAAACTAAAAATATTCAATATTACAGAGCAGCCCAATCAATCTCAACCGAAGGATACTTTGACAACAACAAATTATCATACTCATCAAAAGGCTCCGAGAAATCCAAAAACGTGACTTCCGACTCTGGCGAACCAGATCCAACCATCGATGAAGCCTCATCTGACGGCCCAGGAGAGACCGAACAAGGCTCCACCTTCACAGAATCACAAGACGAATTACATTCAACTTTCAGAACTTCGGGCTTTTCATCAGAAGAAGAACCCAAACGGGCCTTCTTAGGTATATTTTCAGTGCTCCCCTGTTGTTTGGCCATATTTAGGCAGATGGCTTCGAGCTTTGCATCGACAGAGGCATGCAGAGGCCTAAAGTTCGAATCTTGACTCAACTTGAGCTTGAGGTGAGGAAAATTGAGCCTTGCAAAATCACCTCTCAGCTTATAAGCTGCTTTGTCGTAAGCTAAAGCTGCATCCTCGGCAGTGTCGAAAGTTCCGAGCCACAGCCTTGTTCGGTTCTTAGGAAGTCTGATCTCAGCAACCCATTTGCCCCAGTGTCTCTGTCTTACTCCCCTGTAAAGCTTTGTGGGCTTTGAGGGAGGATTGCCAGCTTGCTTCATTAAAACGGGCTTCGGGACGAGAAAGCTGGAATAAGGGTGCTGAGGGGTAAAGTTGTAATTTTGCTGCTGCTGGAGATGGAACTGGGCCTGGATCTGCAAGATCTGAGATGGGTTGAACTGATTTTGACCAATTGGGTTGAATTTTTGCTCACATCCCATTTGGGTAAAATTATCAGAGAACCCTTGAGAAAATAATTGAGTTCTTGATGGGATGGAGGCAAAATCGGTGTAGATATTGGAATAAGGGGAAAAGGATGACTGGGCAGCAAAAGAATGGCCAGAAGAGGATGAAGAAGAAGTGGGGGAGGAGAGTGAAGAAAGAGGAGAGAGAAAGTTATCAGAAGGAGAAAGAGTTTTTGAAGAAGCACTCTTCATAAAAGGTTGGAGTGCTTGCATAAGCTCTTCTCTAAAGGGATCTGTGCAGAAAATCTGATTACTGCTGGAATCATACACATCTATAGCTGCTGCCATTGATAACTTACAAAGAAAATTATAAATAACTATTTGAGAAAACCAAAAACCCAAGAAAAATGTGAAAACAAACCTGTTTCTTGTACCAAAATTAAAGAACAGGTTAAAGGGACATAAAAAAACCCAAACTTTATACACAGAGAGGATTTCAAAGAGGTTTCAAATAAGCAATCTTTAAATTTCCCAGATAATCTATGCATATGTATCAAAGAACCAAAACAAAGACGTGAAGGGACAAAAAAACAGACCCTCCTAGCTTGTCTTGACAAGAAATAATCTAAAATTAGAAATAAAGAGAAACTTTACGACAAAAATAACTGGGGAAGAAAAATTTGAATCGCTATTCTGAATCACCTGGCTTTCAAATAATTAGAGAAGCCCTTAAAGGAACGCTTTGGAAAGTCCTTCCCTGTAAAAGCTCAAAATCAAGATAAATCAAACGGAAATCAGATCGAGATTTTGAAAGACAGACGATGACAGAAAGGGATCCAAGAAGCGGGGTGCTACAGAGAAGGGGGGAAACTAAATTAAAAATTGATAGAAAACTCTCTTGAGTCGTGAACTCACTGATTTTTTTCTCTCTTGTAGAAGATGGTGGTGGAACTCTCTGTTTATATAGGCCAAAATCACAAGTGGGTTGGCTCTCTCTTCATTGATTTTGTGGTTCCATTTTCTCTCTCTAGCAAAATTTTTATTTTTTATTTTTTTATTTTACGTAAAACTTGTGTAAGGAATAAATTCCACTTTTTTTCTCGAATGGTTACAATTAATCTTGACAAAATTGAGGATTATTCTATTTCTTTATCAATAATCAATAATATAACTAATGCGATGCACGAGTAAATAATACTAAATATAATTATAAAATAAAAATATGAATAAATAATATTAACTATTAATTATAAATTAAATATATAGGAGTAACATGTGATACAATATGTATATCAGTTTGTTGTAAATAATATAAAATTATCTTGTATAAAAGAATAAAAAAACATGTATGTTTACAGTATAAAAAATACCTAAAATATGATATAACATATTTAAAAATATTTAAAATATTATACAGTTCTTGTAAAAGGTGAAGTCCATTTGTTGTAAAGAATATAAATTATCTTGTATAAAAAAACATAAAACACCTAAAATATGATATATCAGTTTATTGTAAATAATATAAAATTATCTTGTACAAACGAATAAAAAAACATGTATTTTAAAGTATAAAAAGTACCTAAAATATGATATAACATATTTAAAGATATCTTAAATACTATACATTATTCTTGTAAAAGGTGAAGTCCATTTGTTGTAAACAATATAAATTATTTTGTATAAAAAAAACATAAAACATTCCCCTTATATATAATTTTCGAATGTTTTAAGCCTAAGTGGCAGAGTCGTATGCTTCGGGATCATATGTGGCAAAATTTTACTCTTTATTATCTGGCTTGGATATATTTTAATTTACTTTCAGTCCAAAAATAATTAAGTTCGGACTATCCATAAATATAAATATGTTGATTATTTATGGTCATTTTACATGTTAATTGCATTTTAATATCATTTTCTATTATAACCATTTAATTGTAAATGTATTTTCAAAGTTAATAACTTTTGTATTTTTTATCAGCTTTACATATATGATATATCAAATTAATCATCTTTTGATAGCTTCAATTTGACACACATATTGTATTAATAAAATATATAAATTATATTTTATTTTTTTAATTATTTATTAATATTAGTTAGAAAAATAAAATTATTTATCAATTATATATTTATGTTTAAAGTAGTTATATAATATAGGTTAGAAAAATTATTATAATATAACAAAAGTAAATCGCACAAATAACAAATGTCATTCTAAAATATATAATAATGTATATATTTTGTAAAAAAAATATTTAAATCTTAAAATACTTTTTTTCATTAATTCTAAAATTTAATAATAATTTTATAACAAGCACCCGTGTAATACATGGGTGTTGTACTAGTGTATGTTTAAAGTATGAAAAATACCTAAACTATGATATACATATGTAAAGTTATCTAAAATATTTTACATTATTCTTGAATAATGTGAAGTCAATAAATCCTCAATGTATAAAATGTGCAAAAAGAAATTATCTAAAAAGTATCTAAAATATTATGTGAGTGAATATAAAATGTGTAAAAAAATATCTAAAATATTATATGAGTGAATAATAGTATTACAACCTAATAGCTCACACTGATACCTTACGGCCCAAGTTGGGCGCGTGAGCTCCCCGACAGCGAGCGCGTGAGTTGCCTCAGTTGTAAGAGCTGTCAGAGTCATCCGGGCTGTCAGAGACGGTTATGAGGCGTAGACCACTTGGGCGGCGCCACGTGGTTTTACCCATCTAAGGGGTTTAATTTCCCTAAGATTCCTCCTTATCTCTAAACTCTCCTCACTAGGTGGCCTAATCGCGGACTTGACCTGCATTGCTCGAGCTAGGATGTCATTAGTAGTGGACGTTATTGTCATGTCCATCTGGTCGATCATTCGACCAGATGCCTCTTTTAGTGACCTTCGACCAGGCCCTCTGAAGACCCCTCTTCGACCTTTTGGTATCCTCTAATCTCCAGTGCATTCTTCGACCAGAAGATCTTTCGACCTGAGAAATCCCCTTTCCCCCTTCGACCCGATGACCAGGTCGGTTTGATTTGATTACTTCTCCGGTCTAGTCGACCAGGTATGATTATATTTATCCCATATCAGGTTTATAAGAAATAATTTTTTTTCCAAATCTTTCTATTTTTCTCATTCTTTCTTTTCAAATTATTAAAAAAGATTACTAACTTAAATTATAATTATATTTTAAAAGTTAATAATTCTCATATTATGATAAAGTTTTGTATATATCAATTAATCATCTCTTGATGAGCTTCAATTTGACATTTGTATTATACAAAATAAATTAATAATTATATTTATATAATAATAAAATTTAAATCATCAATTAGTATTGTTGAAAAAAATAAAATTATTTTGAATTAAATTAACTAAAATATAGGTATATGATATAATTTTTTTAAAAAAAGTTATAATATAAAATGAGTAAGTGATATAAGTGACGGATTTCATTTTAAATATTTTAAAAAAAAAATATATTTCAAATTCAAACAAATTTTTTATTGTTTTTTAAATTTAAGTATAAATTATTTAACAATCACATGTGTATCCCGTGCTAAGTGATAAGTGACGAACATCATTTTAAATATTTTTTTTCAAAAATATATTTAAATTCAAAATCACTTTTTTTATTTTTTAATTTAAGTATAAGTTATTTAACAATCATCTGTGTACTATTGTATTAGTTATATTTATATTTATATATATATAAATAAAAAAAGCTCATTTTAAGTATTCGAGCATGTATTAAAATATAGATTCGAATTTCGATTCAGGCTGAAATCCTACTTTGACTAGAGCACTATATGTTGATTCGAGGATTTTCAAGTTCAACAGAGTGTGAACCTTATTTGGGATCATAATAATTTCTCGCCTAACCTGGAGCTTTCTGGACCATACGATGTGCATTAACAGATTTTCTTGCTAGCTTCTAAGGGCCCACTTTCCGCGGCCTAATGAAATGATGATCATCAAAAAAAATTTCTGTATTTTTCGTATGAGAAATTGATAGGTAGCATAAATATGTCCTAAAAACATGTTAAAATGATGTTTGTGGCACTAAAAAGAACTAAGCCTAAATATGGATATAAAATTGTTTATATGTACTCAGAAATAAAAGTATATTTTTGAAAATGTATTTTTATCCTATTAAGAATAACATAGATTTTCATATCAGAACGGGTCATCTAATCGACCAACCTACAAGTTCATGGCGAATGATACTTAGAATCGATATACTAAGATTGAAAGATTCCTTATATATAAATGAAGAAGTGCTGTATTGCATTAAAACCATAAAATTAATAAAAACGACATGGATTTCATCACTAACTTAATTATCAATTACAATAATTAAGTTTAAAATTTTAATAAAATATTTTGATTTACCCATAAAACTAATTAAATTATAAAATAATTAAACAAATTAAAAAATACAACCCAGTCCATCTAAATTGGCCCAAAATACACAATCCAACTCATTTTTCACTTAAAAAAAATCAAAGAGAATGAATTGTGAAACGGGTTGGCAACCGTTCCATAAACCTCCCCGCTTCAAAAGGCGGAGAGGAGAGAACTGTGTTGGAGATGATTTTTCTCTATTGTTGTCGTTTCATTTGGTTTAGACTTTGGACTCTATTGTTGTTGTTTTCACTTGGTTTAGAGAGCCGCTTAATTGGAGATGCTCTTATCTAATCTAACTTAACTTAATCCCCTTTATATATAATTCTCAAATGTGCTGAGCCTAAGTGGCAGCCTCACATGCTTCGACATCCTAGGTGTCAAATTTCATGCTTCATTATTTAGCTTAGATAGATGTTAATTTAGTTTCAATAAAAAATAATTAGGTCCGGATTATCATAAATATGTTGTTTATTTATGATCATTTTAGATGTATTAATTGTATTTTAATATCATTTCCTATTATAACCATTGAATTGTAAATGTACTTTAAATCAACTTTGTATTTTTTATCGGTTTTACATATATAATACGTCAAATTAATCATCTTTTGATGCGTTTTGATTTGACATCCATATTGTATGTATAAAATAAATAAATTATATTTATCTTTATAATAATAATAAAATCATTAATTAATCTTCATTAAAAAAATAAAATTATTTCTCAATTAATATATTTATGTTTAAAGTAGTTATATGTTATAAGTTAAAAAAATTATTATAACACATGTAAGTCGCACAAGTAACAAGTGTCATTCTAAAATATATAATAATATTTATTGTTTTATAAAAAAATATTTAAATTTTAAACCACTTTTTTTTATTAATTTTAAATTTTAATAAAAAAATAACAAACCCTCGTGTAATACACAAGTGTTCTA